ACAAAATTTTGGTTATTATAAAACAAAATATATAGTTAACAGGGTCGTGGCGAGCATTAACTTAATGCATACACTGAGAAAAATTATTCGATAAAATTTAACAAACAGATATATTTTCGATCAAATTCCAGTTAATTTTTATATCCAATCAGGATATCCGATTAAATTTAATACTCCCAATCATAATGGCATTTCTTCAGATAAATCGATCAAAAAATTATCAACCGATATTTCTCATCAGATATAAAAATACATCGGTATTTTGATTGGAAATATCCGTTTGTTAATTTTTATCGGATGATTTTTCTCAATGTCGAAAAAGGTTGCTTCTATCATGTTCAAACAATCAATCAGAAGTTGTAATTTCAAAATTCTAAACTGTAGGATATCTAGTCCAGGTTTCTCCTATGTGCGATGCTGTGAATGGAAGATTGAGAGGAATTTTAATTTGACACGGTCATTAATACACGTGCGATCTCGCGTGATATAAATTCGACGTCACACCGCGTTGGATAGATCTGCGTTATCGAGATTTTGGGAATTTCGGTCTCACGATGGCCTGCGCGCGCCAGGATTGCGCGTCGCGCTCGTTACGTCGAAACGATCGCTATTTTTTTGAGTCCCGGACCGATAACCATCGCGCGCTGCCGTGTCCGACGTGTTCGATTGATGACGCTCACCCTCGCTCTCGGGATTGGGACGATAATGGCGCGTGACATGCACGGCGCGTAAATCGAGAACAACCCTCGTCTGAGACGTTGCTGCGAGAACACGCGTCGTTAATAGCACACGGAGAGCAGGGTCCAACGAATTTACGCACCATCGCCAAATTTTTATTACATAATAAAGTGCGATCGTCCTCCCTCACGATCTCGCTGAAGAATAATGCCGCAAAACGTACCCAATGTCGCGATAAAATCAGCTAATCGAACGCGGCTAATAAGTATTGCACTTCATTTGCGATATAAATACCTCCGAGGGAGAAAAAACGGCTAAAGAAAATTCGCGGCCGATCGAGTTAATTTTAATGGCAACGCTCAGCAGAAAAAGCTGCTTTGCAACTGCTGTAAAATTTATGAAACTCACTGATACATGCTCTTAATCTCGGCTATATCTAAAACTATCATCTTCTTTTTAATGAATCAGTAAAAATATTTCCGATTAAATCAATGAAAAAGCTTTATTTCACCGATAACCAATGAATATTCACTGATTTTCAAATACTGTCCTCTGTCTTATTTTTTACAGATTTTGACAAGTGGAAATAGGATTTCACTCACCAGTCATAACCCGTCGTCAAAAACGTGGAAACGTGGGTTTTGAGAAACTCCCATTCGTACCATTGTTTTATTTTTTGTTGTATTTTTATAGTTTCTCAAATCTTATAATTTCTCCTATGATTCTACGGAATATTGAAATTTGATAACAGCTAACAGAAAAAAATTCTGAAGATATTACAGAGATTTAAAGAATACATATTCTATTTCGTTCTCTTTAAATGTTTGTAATATCTTCAGAATCTTTTTCTGTTACCTGTTATCAAGTCTCAACATTCCCTAGAATCATGGGAGATTATAAGATTTGAAAAATTATAAAAATACAACAAAAAAACAAAAGAAAAAAAATTCACCAGATTCAATCTTCCCACGGAATAAGTATTGTATTTCAAGGAAGAATACACTTTAGAGAGCGCATCGGTCAGATTCACGAATTTTACGAGTTGCGGAGCAACGTTTTCCGCTGAACGCAGCCATTTGCGGAAGCGCAGCGTCGGAAAAAGCGCAATGTAGCCCAAGGCGCGCGTCCGCGCATGTTTTGCTTTCGCGCCACCGGATGCCGGCGCGCTTTTACGCGCGGTACCGTCGAATTGACGCACCCGTCGCGCCGTGGACGAAGATGGAATAAAGCCTGGCCTCGCGTTCGGGATTCGCGTCCATTTCTCTGACGGGCCATCGCCGTTAAACGCTCGGACCTCGCGGCACGCAAAAAATTGAGCCGAGCGATTGACGCGCCGCGAGACATGCATATGTCGACATGCGCGGACGTATCCCCGTACTCGCGTCGCGAGTTGCGACACTCAGAGTGTATACGTGCGGATAAATTCAATTTTTATCGTGGCAGTAAATTCGCTCATTCAACTTTTCGCAGTGGCAATCGTTGTCGTTCAATTGCATCACACGGCAATAAATGTTATTATTCATCATTCAATTGTATCGTAATGGCAAACAGAGCATTCTGTGAATACTCATTCGTATATTGAAAGGAAGTTTAATGAAATCAGTTTCAAGAGAGGAAAACAATGCGAGAATTATTCTCAATATGTACCGTTTAACACGCTAAGAGGGAAAATATCTGCTGAAAAATTAAAAAGTATTTATTCAGCGGACGTTATGTGATGCATGTGCTTAAAAATCTAAATTCTCTTTAAATAGAACAAACAATCGCTTTCACGAAGAGTACTACGGTTTTAAGATGTGCGTAGTATTCGAAAAATATGTGATATTAGCGTAAGTACATCTCTTCTTAAAACCGTAACTTCTCGCAAAAACAATTGTTTATTCTAATTTAAATAAGAGAATCTATAGATCTCTATAGTAAATATGTTATTGATGTCCAACAAATAAATACTTATTTTAGATATTTTTCCTCTCTCACCAATGCGACTTGTCTACTCATGCACTATCATATTGTGTGATAATTAGATGCGAATATATTCAATAGAACACTCGCCACTGCATGTGTAAACCTGTTGACGACGACTGTACGGTCACTGCATTCCTTCGCAACCGAAAGTCCTCAGTCCAGGCTTAGTTGTTGCTTGCACTTTACACTCGCGACGTGATCCAACAATATCGTCGTATTTTAACACCATATTTTCCCGAATATCGCGGCGATGTCGACAAAAAGTTATCTCTTTAAAGGCACTGTCACTTTTATCTCGACACGGACTCTGTGAATTCGAGCAGACTAAAACGAGATTGGCGAATTGCTCACTCAATCAATACGCGGGTTGCGATACGATCAAGTCCGGCACTTCGGAAAAGCCATCGCACACTCGCGATTTGCGATCGCGTGTAATAAGGAGAAACGCAAATTACGGAGTCAAAATCTAATAACGCGGGCGTAGGTGAGCAAAGAAATCAAAGGCGGCGTGGAATTTTTATGTTCCACAACCTCGCAATTCTTTGGCGGAAATAGCTCCCCGCAACGTTTGTGCGAAAACAATTGCACAATGGTTGTGCAGAAACAGTACCGCAACGTCGTGCGGCCCTCTACGCGAAATCACGACAGAATTTATTTTTGTAATAATACGAAAATGTACTTTCAACAAAGACGCGCGTCTTTGTACAGCGAACCGCGAATGTAAACAATGGGAAGCAAAAAATGAGAGCTCGGAGTCGCGGTGATTGTTGTGTCAACACGACGGAACATAATCATAAAAATCATTATACTTTGGACTGACACGCGTAATTTCCTAACTCGTGAGCAAAACTTCTTTTTGATATAAATTGCTCGTCTTCCATACACGAGTGCGATATTTTTCCTAAACGATTATTCCTCGATATAATTCCCACGCGCGAAACGGTCATCTATAAAATTTTTTAACCCAGGATTACAACAAAAGCGAAATCAAAATCAACCGAATATTTGCTATATAACGAATTAAACGAGCAGTGAAATTAACACGTTGATTTACTACGTGATATTTTTCCGGAGCTTACTTTCGCAATATGTACGCGGATTTGTTGCAATGAGATTCGTGTGACTTTTTACCGAATTCAAATTCGCGACGAAGAAGAGAGATACACGCATGAAAAGTGAAAAAAATAACCGTGAAATTGACGAAATCTGTCAACACGAGTGAAGCACTCGTGACTTTCACGCACTTTGGCGCGAATTTAATATGCGTTATACAACACAGCTCAAAACAATTAGAAGATCATGGAAAATAAACATATCTATTAATTAATTACAGGCAGTGACGAATGCAACACTCGAGTATATGTATCGCGTTTATGCCAAAACATCTTTTATAAAATGTAATCTAATAATCTAATTGTAATCAATTGTAATTTAATTGTAATAAAATGTAATTTAATTGTAATCAATTGTAATCTAATGTTTTATATACATCCGTTCTAACTGATACTTGATAAAACCGTATTAATTTTATATTTCTTCTTTTCTTTCAATTTATACGATTGTCTTTGTATTGATTTTATATCTGTAACACGAAGAAAAAATTCCGCGTTTTCCGTTTACTTTATTGAATAAATAAAAAAGAAATTTGAGAACAATTTAAGTCCCCTAAGAGTCTTGAGCTGCGCATCTTGTCAAACAGGATATAACAATATCTACAAGTGTCTAAATAAGTCGCATTAGTGTAAATAAAATTCTACGATAATCTTTCAGATTATCATTCATATTACCCTTCAGTCTGAAGGGAATGCTGAGTCGATAACAAACTTCAAAAATATCAATAATATAGAGATTATCGTTCCTACCACAGTCACATTATCCTTTTTGTATTTCTTGTACGTATAGATCTTATGTAAATAATGTGTTGCTTCGTTTCATCATAATTTGCGAAAAATCTAACCACGCATATATATAGAAATTTTTCTGCAAGCTATTCCGTTATTTTTAAACTTCTAATTCATGTGTAAAGATACGGTAATGTTCTCTGAAATTTTTCTGAACGAGCAAATTCGCGCGTTTAATACGTACAAGCTTCCAAGCAAATATTTATTTTAGCATGTTGACCGACTGATGCACACTCAAAATTTCAACTTTGAAATTCTTTATCATTTTGGTCGTATATTGAGCAATACTCTAATTCATTCTCGCACGTATTTTTATTGTGCAAGGGCATTTGTAATTCCACGCGAGTACAATGTAAACTTTGTAGAAAGAATTGAGTAGTCGATAATGATTTCGACTTCAGCATTCCCTTAAATTATCGCGCTCATTTTTTTACACTAATTTATTTCATGACTCACCGATCCGCTGTATTCAGGGTCGGCCGCGTTCTCCGCAAGCTCTGAAACAAAGGACGAAACGATTAATCGGATCCAGAGCTTCCATTTAACGAACGAGAGCGGGGTGAATTAAAATATGGGAATGAATTAATGCGTCTCGATCGTAATTTCATTATTTTGACAGATATAGAGCGCGACTGTCGGTTAAAAAAATCTCGAAGAGGACAGGCGTAGCAAGTGTATGAATTTACCTTCGAGCCGACCCTGCTTGGCCCGAACCGGATCCTCCGGTGCGGCATTAGGAACCATCAGGACAGCATCCGCGGGACTCCACCTGTCGTTACGGCCGCAAGCACCGTCTGATCTGAATCGAGAAAACGGTTGTGCCGATTAATTACACGGCTATAAGATTGGTAATTCCGTCTTGTCTCGAATTGAGAACGCAACACAGCTCCGAGCTGTGTACTTCGTCTTAAAATCTCACGAAAGTAGAACGTGCCGTGATTACCTGACAAGTTTCACAAAGCCCCAGCTACTCAGGACGAGTAGCTCGCCGATGTATTCTTAATCGCGACGTTAACGCATCGCAAATAACCGTTACGCTATCCCGGATTAAGCGAAATATGTCAAAATAACGAGCGACGTCGTCTACACGTGTTCACTTGATCGCGTCGTATTTCGCTATG